CTTTGTCATGGGCTTCCTTCTCTTGAAAACAGTGAGTAATGAATTTCTGTTGTTTATGAGTTGCCCAGTCTGCCTAGTCTAGGGTATATTGCTACAGCGCCATGCTAACTCATTAGTAATTTCTAGCTCTATTGATTGCTCCATGGGAAAGACAGTTCTAATGCTGAAAGTTACGAAGAACTAACAATCTCTGTTCTCTGCGGATGAAAGTCTGGGCCCCTGTGATTGTTCTAGAACTTAATCCTGCTTGTTTACAGTTCACTGTATTCTAAGCACACCCACAAGATGGTGAAAGTCACCTATACCGGCAAAGCATATGGATTTGATATTCCACATTGGAAAATTAAGGACATCTGGGTTTTGCTATAAACATTTTTTGAAAGTCTAAACATAAAGCATTGGTCCAATTCATCAATATCTTGGGAAGAACTTAGTCATTATATGTCATAATAGAATGTGCTGTGTATTTTTTCTGTAGGGGGGAGAAAACCCAGACTGTCACATTTTCAGTTAAAACCACATTATAAAAAAAATTTGAAACTGAAAGCAAGCTTATTTTTAAGTAATGAGGTAGAGATATTCTGGAAGGGGAAAAATCCTTGAAGACATAAAAATCCATTTTAAGAGTTAAAATAATTGCATACCCTAGCAACCTTTTGCTGACATCTAAAATATCCCCAAGTTTTATACGCTGCTCTTTATTTATTTAAGTTGCCCATGCAGTTTGAATTAGCTCCACTATGGTCAAGCCAGCTTTCCTGAAGTTGGAATGCACTACTGCAGACGTGTGTACACAGATTTCCAACATAAACTATAATTCATAAGGCTCGGTGCAACTCTTTTCTTTGTAGTTGGGTAACCATTTATGTTTGAGGTGAAGATGTTAATATGGAAATTTTTCTGAGCTCAGAAAGAGGACGAATGCTATCATTCTAATTTATGACCTTTCTTATAAGGCCAAACGTAAAGGCAACTACAATTGTTTTATAACCCAGAGCCAGCACATAGCAGACGTATGAAATCTGGAGTGTTAGATATAAACTTTTATTACCAAATTATAAATAATTTCTACCACTTATAATGTTCACCTTTCAAGTTCATCTTGATTAGAATACAAGGGCAGCTTCACAGCAATCTCGCCGCACTTTACAGCTGAGAGAGGCTCTCTGGGCTCCCGGGGCATGAAACATCACAGCGTTTAGGGTACCCTGCTTGTGGGGCTCAGACCCAGGTCCCACTTACTGAAATCCAAGTCACACCAGAGTGGTGGCTGGCGAAGTTCAAACACTATGTAAACATATCAAATATTATATCTGAAGTCAAGTATTCATAATGTAGAATAGAAACTCTTTATAGGTTAGACAAAAGACATATTGGCTTTTGTGGAAAGTCTGAATGAAAATATACCTCCTGTAGGCTCAAAGAATTAAATATTTGGTCCCCAGTTAGGAGCGCTGTTTGGGGAGATTATAGAGCTTTTAGGAGATACAGCCTTTCTGGAGAAAGTGTATCACTGGGGCTGCAGGGGTAATGTGGTGTGGGGGGGGGCAGGTTTCAGAAGTCTTATATCCTGGCCCCAGCTGATATCTGTCTGTCTGGTCTGTGCCTCTGTCTGTCTTCGTCTCCTTCCCCCACACCAGCTTCATACATGTGGATGAAAATGTGATCTCTCAGTTCTGACCACCTGCTGCCGTGCCTTCTTCACCATTGTGAACTCTTCTCTCAGGAACCATATAAAGTCTTTCTTCTGTAAGTCCCTTCTGGTCATGTTTTATCACAGTGACATTTGCCCATCAGTCAATTAGCACATGAATATCATAGAAGATATTTAATTCCAGAATCAAATGAAGAATGTTTTCCTTATCATTTGCTTTAACAAGTAATTTCCACATTTTCTTGCTCAATTGTGCCACAAGGACATGTGCTCAACTATGGTCATAGCAGCATTGTTTGTCATAGCCAGAACCTGGAAACAACCTAAATGCCCCTCTACTGAAGAATGGATAAGGAAAATGTGGTACATTTACACAATGGAGTACTACAGAGCAGAAAAAAATAATGACATCTTGAAATTTGCAGGAAAATGGGTGGAGCTAGAAAACATCATATTGAGTGAGGTAACCCAGACCCAGAAAGACAATTATCATATGTACTCACTCAAAAGTGGTTTTTAAACATAAAGCAAAGAAAACCAGCCTACAAATCACAATCCCAGAGAACCTAGACAACAATGAGGATCCTAAGAGAGAGATAGATGGATCTAATCCATATGGGAAGTAGAAAATGACAAGATCTCCTGAGTAAATTGGGAGCATGGAGACCATGGGAGAGGAGAGAAGGGGAGGGGAGCAGAGAAAAATGTAGAGCTTAATAAAATCAATAAACAAATATTGTAACTGTAATATGTAATTTTACTATGTTAAAGTTAAAACCTTCCTTTTTATTTAGACAGAAAAGGGGAGATGGTGTGGAAAGTACTTCTGTATATGTGTTGCTTTTATTGGTAAATGAATAAAGACACTGTTTCGGCCTGTGATAGGGCAGAGTAGAGCTAGGCAGGAAAACTAAAGTGAATGCTGGGAGAAAGAAGGTGGAGTCAGGGAGAAGCAATGTAGCCACCACTGGAGATAGACACACAGAAACCTTGCCAGTAGGCCATCAGACTCGTGGTAAAATATAAAATAATAGAAAAGGGCTAATTTAAGACATGTGTTAACCAGAAATATTAAGCAACCAGCCAAGCAGTGATTTAGATAATATAGTTTCTGAGTGATTATTTCATGGTCTGGGCAGCCGGAAGCGAACAAGCAGCCTCCTACTACACTATGCAGTGTATATCAGGGGTGCATCCCAATGTCAATGATGGTCTTTGCCTGACACTGTCGGCTTATTACTGTGACATCTGACCTAAGTACACTGGACTAGGCTTGCCCAGTTGTTTTTAAAGATGTTAAAGTCTCCCTAGTAAAGTTATGTGTGGAATTTTGAGGGCTGGCTTTTGAACTGGAATCTGGAATAAGTTTTGGACAGGTTTTCCTGGTAAATACAGGATGAGGATCTGGAAAGTGTACCCGTGGAATGTGGAGTGTGTCTGGTGTTTTGGCAAAGCCAGTAGTGAGCTACTGAGAGGTTTCTTGGAATAACCACATATTTATAAGTTTGTCGCCTAGGGGCTTTAAAGGGCTGTGCCCTTAAAGACAGTGGCAGCTATTCTATTCCGCAGACAAACCGAGCCCCCAAAACTCTTCTCACTCGAGGCTTGAGGGCTGCGTCACAGCTCCATGGCAAAGCGAAAGCAGCCATGAATATACCTGTCTCTGTCATGTGTAATACACACACAATAACCACAATCATCAGCGAGGAATGCAGTACGCTTCCCTTTTTTGAGACAAGGTCTCAAATTCATTTTGTAACCGATGATGAACTTGAATTTTTAATCCCCCTGCACCCACGCTTGTGTGTGCACCATCACTGTAGTGGCAGAGATGTTAACACACACTAGGCATGCCATCAACTGCTACACCCTCAGCTTCAAGTTCGATTTACAAAGCCATTTATTTTAGGGGCAGAGTATAGCATGCTTCTTCTTTGTAGACAGCTTGATTTAAATGTGACTTCACTTGTATTGTTAATTTTATACTTTATATTTCAAGAGTCTAAAATGCTGTCTTATTACTGTCTGTAACTGATGGTTTTGACATCAACTGGGATTATGCAGAGGAACCAAAGGATATGGCTGTTATCAAATCTTATCCAGTTGTTCTCTGTCTGTGACACCAGTCACAGGTCCATTGCTTTCACCCTTCTCTAAGAGGAACTTAGAAAAGAAGGAGCCATTTTCTGTCACAGGAAACCATTCTGCATCTTAGATACTTAACAGGATCTTACAAGATCCTTAACAGGGGCAGATAGCAGTTCTTTGGCGGATTTATAACTGTGATGATGAATAAACATCAGAAAAAGAATTAAAATATAAATTCAAAATACAATATAAAATATAAATCAAAATGTCACTATAAATGAAAGTATGGGTAAAGAAAGGAATCAGGTCTTCCTGTAATCTTTTCGTTCTATAAATAGAAAACACACACTAAGAATTCATGCAATATCCCAAACCAAGTTCCCCTACAGCACTTAAATGGTATCCGCATGCAATTTTCAATTTAACTAGTTTGTATTGTCTTCTTAGAATTGGTGCCATTATAATTCAGTTGCTTTAAATGATTTGTATTTTTGTTGTAGCAACATTGCGATGGAAACAATCTCTAGCAGTAACTTAAACTTCAACCATTTAATTAATATTTAGAAGTAGGTTTGGGGGCTTGAGGCTTTTAACTTGTATTTTCTTTAAATTATTTTAGGATGCCGGGCAGTGCTGACGCCCGCCTTTAATTCCAGCATCAGGGAGGCAGAGGCAGGTGGATCTCAGTGGGTTCCGAGCCAGCCTGGTCTACAAAGTGAGTTCCACGACAGTCAGGGCTGTTAAAGGGAAATCCTGTCTCTAAAAACCAAAATAAAACGAAACAAAAACAAATTAAGGCTATTTCCGGGTGCTTACAATAGCCTATTCGTTTTTGTTTCCTATGGTTTTAAGGTATTCTTTACTGTAATGAAATCTCACAAGATCACTTGTAGTATTTTTTTGTTGGTTGTTTTGTTTTTGTATTCGATTTTCTAGCAACAGAGGACATCAGAACACCGGACCTTTACTTCAAAACCTGGGCAGCAAATCTCTCACTGAACAATCCAGTTCTTAGAGGCGAGCAATCCGTCCCGGCGTGGCCTTTTTGATCCCCGCAAGCTGCCGTAGCTAAGCAGGCCGCTGATTGGGTGAGGCGGGAAAGCGCGCTGCCGGGGGCGGTTTCGGTTTTCGCGGCGCGCGTCCGTAGAGGCCCGGCTCGCGAAGGCTCCGGATCCGGCTGCGAGGTGAGTCCGCGGCCCGGGAGGGGCGAGTGGGAGCGGGTGGGCGCTGGAGCGGTCGGCCTAGGTTCGCGGAGGCCCGGGCCGGGCGGGGGAGCGGCTCGAGCCCAGGCCGGGCCTGCAGCGGCAGATGGCCGTCCGGGCCACGCGGCCTCGCGCGCTCAGCGCTGTCCCTTGGTGCGCGCGCCCGCCGCCCGCCGCGGTCCCCTCCTGCGCGCGCCCGGGCTTGGCTGGGTTTCGCGCCCAGGGCTAGATGGCTCGTGACTCCTATGCTGTCCTCCACCGTGCGCGCTGGGAAACCCTAACTACCACGAGCTAAGGAAATGATCCTTGCTGAACGCCACCTCCTTTCCTCTTGTGTGTGCCTGTTTCTGTTTCAGCTAAGACCACCATTTATTTTAAATCAGTTATCAGTAATATTTAGTTTTCTCTTTGCGTTGATAAGGTAGCAAGTTGTAATTTTTAAATTCATTTCTTCTGTTTGGTCCTTGTTTTTTCATTGGATCCCTGACGGATCCCTTTGGGTGGTTGACTTGTCCATTTTAGCCTCCCGTGTGACCCTTAACTCTCCTTGGACAGGCTCTCGGAAGAGAAGTTACTAGGTTAGATAATTCCTGCACATCGCCAGGCTGGTTCTTTTTTAAAAGTGTTCGGAATTTACCTTGCTCGCCCGTGACACTGCTGCTTTCACCCAGATCGGGAATGCTCGTATTTTGTTTCTGAGGTTAGCAAGGCGCAGCCTCTCTTTTGGAATCACTACCGTTGGGGAGCTTGTTTAAAGCTTGTTTAAAGTTGCACCAGGTGGCTCAATCTGACCTTGAACTCTGGATCCTCCAACTGCTGCCCTGGGATTGATTCGGGCGTTGTTATTTTTTTTTTTTTTTTATTGTAGTGCCTGTCTGCCTTCATGGTTTTCTTGCACAATCTGTGTGTGTGTCTGTGTGTGTGTCTGTGTCTGTGTGTGTGTCTGTGTGTGTGTCTGTGTTGGTATTACTGCTGGACAGGAAGAGACGGTCAGTAACCATCTAGCATGACTCCATTATTTTGCAGATGAGCCTGGGGCCATGAGAGGTGACCTGGTGATAGTTACGAGCTGCACAGCTGATTAAGTAGCGGAGGAGATTAGAACTCAGTTCCTGGCCTCCCAAGTGAGTACCCTTGACTACTCATCAGGTCTTTTCTCACTGAAGGGTGGCCTAGTAAGTAGTAGAATTTAAAAAAAAATAAATAATTTTTTTAAAAAAATTCCCCTGGCTTGTTTTCTTTTCTAGTGAAGGACTGGAAAATAGAAAAGTCATTTTTTTGACCAGCACTAGAAATTTATTAGTTAGAATGTCGACCCCTTCGAGATTTTGATGGTTGTTTTCAGATTCTTCATGTTTGGATAAAATACTCCTGTATCTTAGAGGATGCAGAACTCTCAATACCAGAAAGTGCATGGATGCTCAAGTTCCATGTGTGTCGCATCTGACCTACGTTCATGATCCCTAGATCACTCCCCATGTGTAATATAATGTGAGTGGTTGCAGTAGAATGTTGTTTAGGCAGAGATGACAAGGGAAAAGTCCTTTATGTCTGTAAAGGCAAAGCCTTAGGAGTTGGACTTGCGACTTCGCTTTACTAGGTGTGAACCAGGCTTGGCTGGACCCACAGCTAAGGAGACGTTTATGTGCTCATCATCTGGTTCTCGTTTAAGCCTTGATTGTCCTGAAATACCTTATTTTAACCAGGAAATGAGGCCTGAAGAGAGGGAAGGAGAGGTGGGAGTTAGGGCTTGGCTGAGGTTCTGTGGTTGGCATGTTGGACCACACGCTCCTATGTTGTAAAGGCTCCTCTGCACCAGTGGTTCCCAGCCTGTGGGTTGGGACCCCTTGGGGCTGTTGGAAGATCCTTTCCCGGAGGTCACAAATCAGATATTTACATTATGATTCATAAAAGTAGCAACATTACAGCTAGGAAGTTCAATGGAACAGACTCCCAAAAATTGTCCTCTGCACCTATGTGCATGCTGTGGCAGGTGCTGTTACTCCTGTCCCACTAAATAATGAATGAGGTAAAATGCAGAAAAAAACCCTAAAGTGTCATTTGGCTGCATAAGCTTCAGAAACCTGCATTTGCCCAGGCATCTTTGCAGACTTGGATGCGCCTTCTGAGCACCGAGTGCTCCTGTCTACCTTGTGTCAGTGGTCATTCATAAAGGCCTTGGGATTATAGATGTTGAAGTGCATGGTGTTGTAGGTGCCGGACCTGTGGGGTGGACATCGGTGAGGAGGGATGGGCGGGGCTTTGTTTGACACTGGCTTTGAATGCCTCTTCCACAGACTTGGTTGGTCTTTTTAGGAGCCAAGGCTACCAGAGAAGTAGGATATTTTTCTGTCTCCTTCAAGTCCCCTTAAGTATCTGCAAGAGACTGGAACTAACATGCCTCATCATTGGGTGAATAAAATTTGACACACATACCATACCTCCTCCCCGCCTTCAACCCATTGCTAACTGTGAGCAGATGTGGCATGTTAGACCACTTGGTGACTTCTGACCAGAAACAGAGTGCTCCGACTTAACACCCACTATGAATCGGGGGGGGGGGGGGGTCCAGAGTCCTAGAGAGTAAGGCTGAGTTGAAGGGAGAAGTTTACTAAGGTGACCTTGGCAGAAGGAAGTCCTTTTCTTGTATTTATGGTTCAAGAGTCTTAGCTCTAGCTTCAGAAATTGTCAGAACTATTCCTTCTGCCTTATCCAATTTAAAAGATGAAAAAACTTAAAATTACTTGATCCAAGTGATGGGAAAAATTGTGGTGTCAAGACCAATTTACTTGTACAGAATGGATTTATGAGCAAGTCATTAAGTCCCAGGCAGTACCGAGGAACCTAATGAGGAGTAATGCAAAGGGTCTGCCTTCCTGGGTGAGGATGAGTACGGCGAACTTGAGGCAACCATACTTGTTCCAGATAACTTCAAAAGCATCCCTTTCAGGCCCTCTAGCAGAATGTACTCTAGAGAACAAATGAGGGCCTTGCTTTCAGCCCATCCTTTCATGTGGCTTGAAGTCTTTAGAGAAAAGTCTGCCTTTTTTAGGAAGTGCAGATAGTGACGCGTGCGGGAGAAAACAAGAGGCAGAGTCTGAATTAATGTGTGCTGTGCCACCGCAAATAGGAAGTAGGACACAGCAGATCCCTGTGCCCTTTTCTGGACCATGGTATCCTCCAACTAGCCAGTTCCTAAGAGTCTACAGGTTCTGGTCCAGACATGCTGGCACATGCTGGCTGGGTTCTCCGGATGGTCCAGATGATTCCAGCTGAGCCTGTGCTTCTGTTCCCTGAGAACGAATGTGGCCCTGCGCTCCAGCAGTGTCTCTGTTTTGATGTGTAGATTTCACTTTAGAATATCCAGTGCCTTTGCTCAGCTTCTCTCTGCAGCTAGTGTACTTTTCTGTCAAACTTGGCTTACATAGTCAGTAATCCTCCTGTGATGTGCCACGTCTGGGCTCAGTCCTCTCTTGGTAGACCTCTGTGTGTAATTCTACCTGAAAGCATACGTTCTCTATGAAATTTGCCACTTCTGTGTGAGTGTAGCCCCCTGGAGAGTAAACGCCAAGGCCCCAAGGCCATTTCTTATGTGTTACAGCCTCACCCTACAGCTAAGGCTTAGTAGGTAGCTTAGTGTGGATTGCCCTGGGAAGAGGTTGATGGTGATTGAAATAAAGATGAGGTTCAATCGGGGTGTTATTTTTAGCAAGTTTAGAAGAAAGTGTTTCTGCTTTCTCAAAGGTACGGACAGTTAACATTTTTAAAGCACTGACTGCTGTCAAGCCTAGGGCTGTGTTTTCTTCTTTCACTTGTTTTTTCATCCAAAAATACAGATGTCGTTAGCACCAGTGAAGTTAATTTCTGCATTTACCGTGAACTGGATTTTAAAAAGTGTGTGTGTGTCTGTGCCTCTGTGTGTCTGTGTGTGTAAGGGGGGCAGGGTCTCGGTGAACCTGGAGCTCACTAGAGCTAGACTGCTGTCTGGCAAACCTTTGGGATCTCCCTGTCTCTGCCCCCTAGTGCCGGAGTTACAGATGTCTCAGTGCCTCTGGCTTTTACCTGGTGCTGTGGATCCAGGCTCAGGTCCTTGTGCTTGAACACAGCACTTTACCCACTGAGCCAGCTTCCCTGCTAGGTTTGGGTTCTGGCTTTTAATGCAAATAGACATTTTTCTTATTTCGGATTGTACGTGAGTGAACCGGAATAGTAGAATTTGGCCTCTGTGATTGGAAGTAACCCCAAGACTTGAGAGATGAGTTAATAGTGTCCCTAGAAGTTTTTTAGCTGTAAAACAGCGCATGTGCAAGACACACATATGTGGCTCTTAGATGAGGGGGAAGATTTGTTTGTTTTACTAAACAAATGAAAAGTACTGAATCTGTTACTTTGCCATTTTTCTCTTTAAACTCAAAACAACACAAATAAGATTGTTGTGTGGCCAGCATCTTGGATAAATAGCAGTTGTAATTTTAGATATTTGTTAAGACTATGGACCTAAGAAAATGAGCCAACAGCTTAGTGAAAAAGTTATTTGCTAAGCAAAATAATCAGTTGATTTTTTTAAACAAATGTTAGCAGCTGTAGATGGTTCAAGTGATAATTTCTAAAATTTGTATTTTCTTTTATTTAACTGAATACTTGGCTTCTTGGGTAAAGAGAATTATTTCCCTTTTTGTCCCTTTGATTTATTCGTGTCCTTAACACACAAAGTTTAACTTCTGGATTCTAAGTTCCTGAAGTGCAAGCCTGGCACATATTTTCTGATTGCCTTGCACAATGTGTGTGTGTGTGTGTGTGTGTGTGTGTGTGTGTGTGTGTGCACTTTGGTTGAGCTGCTGAGAGATCTACCCCTAGCATCCCAGCTTCACCAACTGGCTAATCTTCCATGGTGGACATAGAGAGCGTCTTCACGGCACTGGGTGGATTAGATGGAGATTCGTGGAGTAAAATCAACAATGCTGTTTATGGAAGAATGTAGTCTTGATTAAAAACAAAAATCTAGGATTGGGGATGGAGTACGTCCCTAAAATAGTGTTCCATGATGCATGACAGTTATATAAGAGATGTTGCTGAATTTCACTAAAACAAAAGCAATTTCTAGTCTCTGACTTTTGCTTAAGTGACTAATAGTTTCCTTTTTTATTGAAACATTTGGGGGGGGATAACTATTGCATAGCAAGATAAAGTTTGAAAGATGTGATGGGACTTGACATGCCTGGTCCAGTTAATTTGGGTGTGCAGTGCTGTTTCTTTTGCTGAGACTCAGATCTGAACGCTCAAGTCTTTTCCCTGTTTGCTCAGAGCACTCCTACCACAATTATACCTGAGCAATTCAAAGTCTAACTTAACCACCTCTGACCTTGGAACAGAGTGTTCAACAATCTGTAAATGAGGCTGGGGAGGTGGCTGTCAGAAAACGTGTTTGTTGAACAAGCATAAGACCTCAAATCCCTTGCACCCATGTGGAAAGCAGAGCAGGTAGATGAGGGGTCTGGAGGGGATTCCCTGGCCAGCCAGGCTAGCCACATCTGTGAGCTCCAAGTTCAGCGAGAAACCCTGTCTCAGAAAGTCAGGTGGATAGGGACTGAGAAAGATGGGCACCAACAGCCTCTGGCTTCCACACTCGTGTGCACTCAGGAGGTACCTTTTCATACACACAGCATACACTAATGCTGCTTCCTTGGATAGTGAACTTTAAATGAATCTGTACATGTAAAGTACTTGGGAAAGTGCTGGTTTATACTGTAGGTTTCAGTCATGACTTGTCAGTTGTTGATGAGTGGACCTACTTTGTATAATGTGGGCTTGAAGTTAGATTTAACTTAAATATTCTAACATATTTTTGTTTCACCACAATTTAACAGAAGTCATTTAATCTTTCTATTCTGTTTTCTTCAGTAAAATGGGAATATTATGCCTTCTCCTAGGGTTCTCACGGAGATCGCATGTTGTATTTATGGTGATAGAGTTGCCAGAGGTGGCTATACGGGTGTCTTGTGTGTGACACAGCAGGACACGTGATTAGGAATAACTGCTCTGTGAAGAGCTCTAAGGCTGTGCTGTGGGCTGCTGTGGGGCTGTGCGAGGTGGTGTGTGCAGCAGCCCAACTGTCCTGTGCATCAGGACGTCATACAAGTCCTTTGGTGGCTCATCTCCTATAGGTATGTTGAGGCCCGAGAGTTTTGTGTTACCTTGTGTTGGTTTTGTTTTTTGGTGACTAATTAACTTATAGTGTGCACATTTATTGTTCCTTCCTATTTCTGACCAGGATTGTTAAGAATGAGTCTGCGGAAGCAAACACCTAGTGACTTTTTAAAGCAGATCATCGGACGGCCAGTTGTGGTGAAGCTCAATTCTGGGGTGGATTATCGAGGTAGGATTTTCATATTTGATCCTAACTACCATAACCAAGAATCTATGACTTCTTACTTTATTGACCTCTTAAACGTACTCAGTAGACCAAAATGTTGCTCGTTTACAATTTTCTGTCTTCTACCTCTGAGGTGGTTCCTTTCATACTGAAAAGCCTGCCGGCAGCATAGGCTCTGACTTGCAGTGTTTGTGCTTAGTCCATCTCCTGTCTGTTCTGAGAGCTCTTCTGCCTAAGTCCCTGACACCAACTCGGGAGGCAGAAGTAGCTCTGCCATGAAACACTGGGAACCGAAGAACACCTGGGCTCAGCAGCGTTTGCTTTCGCAGAAGAGTTCAAGATTGGCAACTTGTTATTTAGACAGACTCATTTTACAGCATGGCCATCCGGTCATGTAATGTATATCCAGAGATGCGTCTTTGTTTTTAGAACACTTTGTCAGGAACTCTGGGAACAGTAAATGTACATGCTTGTGATCCCAGCACCGGCAAGAGACAGGAGGATTCGGAGTCTGAGGAGAGCTTCAGCTATATCTGATTTTGAAGCAAGCCTGGGCTACATAAGACCCTGTCTCAAAACAAAAAGAAACAAAAACCCAAAAAGGTAATGAAGACTACTGAGAGCCAGGCCGAGGCCCCTGAACGTGAACGTTGTTTATGGAATAGAAGCAGAGCTTGGGTCTCAGTCACAGTGCGGTGTTTATGGAGCCGGAGCTCAGGGACAGAGCTTGGGTCTCAGTGACAGCAGCTTCAAAAACAGTTCTCTGGAATAATACCAGATTCTGTTTTACCAATTATGGAATTTCTACTCTTCTCGAATTAAGATGTGCTAAACTACTTAGACTGTTTCAGAGTGGTAGCTAATTAATTCATCAGCACAGTTTTATTGACATTTCTTTGTCTCTTCCCTACATTTCTTCAAGGTTTTCTCTGTCCACACATTTACATGTAACCCAGTGTGTGTTGATCACTACATTGTCATTTTGTTTTCTATAAACTGAGATTTTGTGGTTACCCTCACCAAGGAAGTGAGGAGCCAGGGCGAACACAAACTTGACTGGAGAGCTTTGTTAAGAAATCACTGGAGGGGCTGGAAAGCTGGCTCAGAAGCAGGAGCACTGGTTGTCTTGCAGAGGACTCATTCGGTTCCTAGCACCCACAGGGCATCTCACAGCCATCGGTAACTTGAGTGCCCAGGGATCCAGTCCTCTTCAGACACCAGACAACACACATGCAGGCAAACATGACTGCAATAAATATTTAGTAACCCACTGGAATCCCAGTACTAGGACGAGGGGATTCAAGCAAGAGGGTGGGGGTTCCATCCCCAGTAGAGCAGAAAGAAAAGGCAGAGACTAGAGAAATGGTTCTGCAGTTAAGCATACTGAGTGCTCTTACAGAGGACCTGCGTTCAGTTTCCAGTGTCCACATTGGGCAGCTCCTGGGGATCCCACAGCTCTGGCCTCAAGGACACCTCTACTCATGTGCATGTACCTGTACATATACACATCATTAAAGTAAGATGAAATCTTGAAAAATAAAGGGGAAAATAACTGTTTTATTCCTAGTTTCTTGACATTAATAGCATATTGCCAGTATTTTTTGTCTTGCTTGCTTTTTGAGTCAGGATCTTGCTGTAATACCCGGCTATCTTCAGGCAAGTTCTCTTTCTGTCTTGATCCCTTCCCATCCCTAGGTTAGAATTATGGCAGTGGCCAGGCAGTGGTGGCACACACCTTTAATCCCAGCACTCAGGAGGTAGAGGCAGGCGGCTCTCTGTGAGTTCGAGGCCAGCATGGTCTACAGAGTGAGTTCCAGAACAGCCAGAGTTGTTAACACAGCAAGACCCTGTCTCGAAAAACAGAGAGAGGTAGAGACAGGGACACGGAGAGAGACAGAGAATGAGAATTATGGTTGTGTGTGCCGCTTTGCCCGGTTTTCAGCCATAAACTTTGGGTAAGCCCAAAGGAAAGAGATAGGGATTTCCATGTATTTGACAGTGGGTAAGACGGGCACATTGTGTGTGGTACTTTCTCAATATCCGCTCTCTGAAGAGGTTAGCTATCTTAGCCTTTTGTTCTTTTCTCTTTAGGGAAAGTGTTTCTGTTTATAAAAGTATAATACATGTTTTAGTTTGTTATTTAGGCCTTCCGGGCAAGTAATGGGAAGCAATGTTTCACTGTATTCCCTGTGTGGAGATAATCCCCTGTGCCACAGGGCAGGACGTTCACACCTGTACAGTCTGTTTTTTCTTCCTTCCTACAGTAACTGATGATGTTCTAACAAGAAAGAGCAGGGGCTGGGTGTGGGTGCATACCTTTAGTCCCAGCACCTGGAGGCAGCGAAGGTGGGTCTCTGCCAGTGTCTCCAAGGTGAAAGTCTAGGAAGGAAGAGAAGGGGAAGACCCGTGTCCTGTGACAGTTCTCTGGCTTGTCATTTTTCTTCTCGCTCTTGGAGAAGAGGAAGAGCTACAACTTTAACACCTTGAATGGCTTTGTTTTGTGTTTCTTGCATATGGGCAATTAAACCCAGGGCCTGACATGTGCTGGGCAAATGCCCTACAGCTGAGCAAAACCTCATTTTTTATCTTTTAACTCTTTTATAAGATTAGATATTTTTAGTAACAGCAAGTAATAGTTGCATTATGTTTTGAATTACCGTTTTGACTAATTCCATATTCATATTATATCCTTGAATTTCTTACTAGTCTGTAAATGTTCTTTAAATATAACGCAGTAGAGAAGCAGCCAACAGAAAAGCTGTCCTGAGCTTCCTCTGGCTGAGAAGTCATTGTGCCTGATAGTTGACAGTCCAGTCTGATCCTTTGCAAGTTTATTGCTGCTCATAGAATTCTGCTCGGTTAATGTCTTGTGTTCTGATTACACACACACACGGTTTTGAAAAGAAACCTCTGTTTAGAGAATAATGGGGGCAGAAGCAGAGAGCGAGGAGCATACTAATGAAGTTAAGATTTTAAATGGGACACTGGCTTAGTTAATTCAATTGAATCTGTACTATGTTTTTATTCTTAGAAATATCACTTTAGATTAGAGGCTGAGAATTAGAAGCTTACTGGTTTCATCTTTAGAAAAACATCACCTGGTCAGATTTTAGAAATTTGTACCATCTTAACACAATTAATGATTCACTTGAGATGTTTTCCTTGAAAGCTCTCTGGAATGTTTGTGGCCATTTTTCTCTATTAGTTTTGATTTTAAAAATAGTGTTAACTGACAAAACAGAATGCAGTGTGTTGTAATGCAATATGTTGCTCTCTGTTCACAAGCTGCTCTTGACTGCAGTCACAGCTTTGAGCTGTTCTTTCAGGAGCACCTGCTGTCTATTATCCTAACAGATTGTGGAGACTTCCTCTTAACCCGGAGCACATTCATCTGCTGCAGTAGCGTTGTGCAAGAGTGAGATAAATCTGCCAGATCCGTATTTCACCCAGTGGCTGAAGTAACAAATGTCACTAGGTTGAAGGCTCATTTGTCCACACATAGTTGCTATGTCTGTCCCTCGCTCCCAAAGAAGAGCACTTTGGTTGGGATATTCTAATGCTTATACTTTTGTGAAGGCTTTCAGAGTTGCTGTGGTGATCACACATACCAGGAGCGGAGTGACAGTTGGTTGCCTGTCGTGGAGTTGTGGATGCTATACCCATCCAGCCTTCATTAAGATTGGCACAGAGTAAAAGCTCCTTTTGTGTTTAAGTCTATTGAGTTTTGTTTACAGTGTGAATTTTTATATTATGTGTTTGGAGGCTAATGAATAAAGTGATTGTCGGTTCTAAGATATGCCCTGTAATTTCAGTCCTTTCTTACTTTTCTCCAGGGGTCCTGGCCTGCCTGGATGGCTACATGAATATAGCACTGGAGCAGACGGAAGAGTATGTAAATGGGCAGCTGAAGAATAAGTATGGGGATGCGTTCATCCGCGGGAACAATGGTAAGCGCTTCTCTTGTGGTAGTGTTCAGAATAAGCCTTTGTCTCATATGTGAGGGCACTGGGGGTTTCTAGATGATGGTAAGGCCCCTTTTCATTTTGTTTGTTTGTTGTGCTTATATTTTAGATCTTTGCATAAACTTGTTCTGTTTTTGAGTGGAAAGAGAATTTTCCATGGCTTGGAAGTAGAAATTTTTTCTCTCTATTGATGAAGAGCTGAGGGATATTTCTTTATTGACCAGGAGCCTGTTATCTTTTGTTTTGTTTTTTGAGACAGGGTTTCTCTGTGTAGCCCTGTCTGTCTTAGAACTCACTTTGTAGACCAGGCTGGCTTCAAACTCACAGAGATCTGCCTGCCTCTGTTTCCCTAGTGCTGGGATTAAAGGCAGGCAGCACTGCTGCCTGGCAACCCTGTTATCTTAAATATCTTTCCTCTTCCTCTTCCTCCTCCTCCTCTTCCTATCTCTTCTCCTTTTTCCTCCCCTCTGACTACCTTTTTTCTTCTTCTTTTTTTTTGGGGTGGGGGGAGTTTTCAAGACAGGTTTCTCTGTAGCTTTGGGGCCTGTCCTGGAACTTGCTCTTGTAGACCAGGCTGGCCTCAAACTCACAGAGATCCGCCTGCCTCTGCCTCCCGAGTGCTCCCTGGCTTAAATATCATTTATTACATTCTCCCAGTGCCATCTGTAGAATAGAATCTATTCCTATACCACCTTCACACTCTCCAAACTTCTGTTATTTTTCTAGGTAAATTTCAGGTGCGGGGATTTGTGCCTTTCAATCTAGCTGAAGTGACATAGTAGAGAGTGTGGCTCTGTAAATGGAGACTGCACTTTAGTTTCTCGGCTGTCCAGACCTGAATAATCACACAAAAACTATATTAATTACAACATTGTTTGACCAGTAGCTTAGGCAAATTCCTAGCTAGCTCTTACATCTTAAATTAACCCATTTCTATTAATCTCTATATTGCCATGAGGCTGTGGCCTACCTGTAAGGTTCCAGCATCCTCTTTTCAGCAGCTACATGGTGTCTTCCTGACTCTGCCTATTCTCTATCTCTGTTCAGATTTCCTACCTGAATTTATTCTGCCCTGCTATAGGTCGAAACAGCTTCTTTATTAACCAATGATAATAAAACATATTCATAGCATAAAGAGGGGAATTCTACATCATTTCCCCTTTTCTGTCTAAATAAAAAATATTTTAACTTTAACATAGTAAAATTACATATAATAAAACAGTTATCAAGCAAGAATTAGTTATAATATTTCTTTGTGAGTCTAAAGTTTTATATTTAATTTATCTTTTATTATAACTAAGGAAAACTATCATTATAACTACCTAGCATTCAACTCCATCAAAGACCCCAGAAGGATATATTACCTGCATTAGCAGGAAGTGCATTGTTAGCAACTTCCAAAGCTCTAGAATTGATAGAGTCATCTCACTGCCTGGACAGTCACCCAAAGTTTTTCTGTCACGTTGGGCCATCCATCTTCAGCCCACAGGCCCATAGTATTAGGCAGATTTTTCCATGAAGCAGGAAATTTGAAAGTCTGTTTCACCTATATTAGCAGTTTGTCAGTCACTTTCTTCTGTGTCCTGCAGAATGTATGGCAGACTCTTTCATGAAGCAGGAACCCTGAAGGACCATCCTGTGTTTTGGAAAGTTCAGCAGTCACTTTTCTGTGGGTCCTGCATATTCAGTTCATACAGCATACCATCAAGCAGTCCAGGCAAGAGCAGTTTCTTGCTCAGATGGATAGCAAACTTCATAAGGACCCTCTTTGATGCCCATCATCCTCTTGAAGTATATTGATGCTGTCTGAAGCAGACATGTCCCATCGTCAAGGAAAGTCTTAAGTTCTTAAAACATTTTAAATGCCATGTTCTGTATGTAGGTCTTTGAAAGGTTTGAAGAATACCTATCCATCTGAAATATATCTCTGTACGTCTAGAAAACCTAACTAACATGACTACAAGTTTGACTGTTACAGATGACTATCTATTAATCCATAATTTTTAATGAGCTGTATAAACATAGTACTTTAAACAAGAGTAAAAATATACATAAAATAAAATTGACATAAACCAAAATCCATACCATTGATTTCATTTCTAATCATACCTTTCACTTTTTTTTTTTTAAAGAAATTGACTATGACCATTAAACATTTATAGCCAACCCTTTTAAAATGAAAATAAATATTTATGCACAATCCTTTTGGGAATTTGGGCATAGTTTTCTCCAAACTGCTTCCTGCTGTTTGTTGGGTGAAGTATTTTTAGGGTTCATGGAGACCTTTCAGAGGGTCTTGTTCCATCAAGCCACATTGCCTGGAAGGAATCCACAGGTTCTCATCCTCTGTGGAAACAAAAGCAGAGCCTCTTTTTCCAAAGCAGTATATCCTTAGACCCAAATTTTAAAGTCAAGACACCTTTAAAATATGTATGTTGGTTTAGCTTAGCTCCCCCAGAATTAAATGTTTCTCTGCAGTCAAAAAATTCAAAGAAAACACAATAATACACATAATGCAGATTGTGTATTTTTCATTTTTACATGACTTTTTTTACTTATTTTTAAGATTTATTATCTTTACTCCTTTAATCTATATCTGTCTGTACTCTTATTTATACTCTTTTTCCTTTCTCTCCCACACCTATGTACATTTTTTAAACACACTGTGACCCGTACAGAAGTTTACTTTTGTCTGAATCTGTCTTTATTGTGCATCTGTAATCATTGTCTGACCAGAAACGCTTCTTAAAACCATAAGCGGGCATGGTTCGTGAAAAAGGACGCTTAAAAGAAATCCCACACTAGCTCAGAATTGAGAAATAGATGGTTATTTATTTAGCGGTAGACTCACAAATCAGAATCCTCTGCTTGAATGGAGGTCAGAAACCTAAATCCTCAACCGGAATAGAGAGGCTGGAAAAGAGGCTGGACACATTTGCTCTATATGGCTTGTCTAGTATAAGAGGCCACGCTGCAGTGGGCGGGTAACCACTAGCAGTAAGACTTCCTACTGCAGGCTAGAACCAACTCCTTGTACCTGCCTGTTGGCTCCACCCTGTCCAACATGGCAGAGGTATATTTGCCTCCTCTGCTAGCCGTGCTCACCACCCAGCTCCAGGGATGCAGCCGGTCCATGTTGCCTTAACAACTAGTAGCACGCTGCTCACAAACCTCCCAAAAGAGCCAGAGCTATCTGTGCTACCAACATGAACCAGGAAGTTGGCTCTTAAAGAAGCCATGGGGTTTTTGCTGCTAATGCTGAGTCAGGAAGCCTTCTCTTAAAGGAGCCGTGCCTGTGCTCACCACCAGCAAACAGCCTATCTGAGAAAAATGCAGATACCAAGAAGCTGCAGTTGACCCCTGTTTTTGTGGGTCTAGAAGTCGTTTGTTTTTTGTTTTTTTAATTTAAACTTTCTTAGGCTGTATGTCGAAATTCTTGCCCCATATTGGCTCCAGTATGTAAATGGAGACTTCACTTTAGTTTCCCAGCAGTCCAGACCTGAATAATCACACAGAAACTATATTAATTACTACAGTTTGGCCAATACCTTAGGTGTATTCCTAGCTAACTCTTATATCTTAAATTAACCCATCTCTATTAATCTGTGTATCTTTGCGAGTTTGTGGCCTATGGGTAAGGTTCTGAGCATCCTTCTTTGGCAGTTACGTGGCATCTCCCTGACTCTTACCTATTCTCTCTATATATCTCTGTTTGGATTTCCTGCCTGGCTTTATTCAGCCCTGTCATAAGTCACAGCAGATTCTTTATCAACCAGTAGTAATAAAACATTCACAGCACGAAAAGGGGAACCCACATCATGGCTCTAAGTTCTGCTGTGAGCAGCTTCACTGCCATGCTTACTGTGGCTATTACTATTTTTATTAGTATTAAAAATACTAATTGTCAATAAGATCATATTTGAGTACATGGGGGCTAGGGAAAGCATCGAATTGATTAGGAATTAACCCTCAGCCCACTTTTAGGTCCCATTCCCAGGTGGAGCTCTTTTATTTATTGATTTCTTTACTTCTGAATATGAGAATCTTTTAACAACCTTAAAGTTTAGGTCTTATTGTTAGGGATTAATTGTCCTGACTTTTTTACTGTGAGCTATTTATTATCAAAGTAAAAAGAGAGCACCGCGTCTAAACACGAAGTTGGTCCCAGTATAGAGACTCCTGAAATAGGATAGATTAGATTAGATAGGATAGATTAGATTAGGTTAGATCTGCAGATCTAACCATTCCATATAACACTCACGGAATGTTAGCATGCAAGAAATACAGGAGAACATAAGAACTTACTTTCATAAGGCTCCCGGGAGTATACCTAAAATAATTGAGAACAACAAAATATATAAAAATGTTCAATAATTTGAGCCTAAGCAATATGAAAGTGTGTCTGCAACTCAAGAAAAAGTCCTGACTTACATACATCTCTTGCTTGCATTTCAGTAGAACTTCTTCTACTTTCATATTTGTATTACTTGACACCCTCTTGCTTGGAAAGTCTCCCCTCAAGATACTGACAGCAGGAGGTACTCCTGCACTGATGTCCCTCTAGCTTGTGTAGATTCCCTGCCAGTGGCTCTTCTCTTTTCCTGTTGTACGCGGTGACAGCCGTCTTATTTGACAACTTGCATTTGACCCTTAAAGAGGATTGGGTTCACTTTGAACATGTGTGTCGGTGTCTGAGGATGTGTGGGGTAGGAGAAGGTACACCTGAGGTGGTAGCTTGCTCAGTGGCCCAGTGGCCCAGTGGCCCAGTTGCCTCCTTGAACCTGTCTCTATGCAGCACGTGCTGTGTTGTGCTCAGTAAGTTGGTCGTGGTGTGACCAGCAAAGTTCAACATTGGATGGCACCAAAGGTTGTTACTGATAGCAATCTCAGGATAAGCACTTGCTTATTCCTAAAAATACCTTCTCTTTTTTTTTTTCTCCTCTGGAAATTATAAAAGTGAACAGAAACTATAGTTTATATTGGAGAGATAGATGAAAATGTACTTTTAGTGTATCTGCATGCATGTAAACAAATCACATGTGTGCCTAGTACTTGAGGCCAGACATGGTCACTGGACTCCCTGGAATTCAAATTCCAGATGGTTGTGAGCCGCTTTGTAGGTACTGGGGACCCAGCAGTGAGGCTCTTGAGTGCTGAGCCATCTCTCCAGCCACGTGTGTTGGCCATTCTCCTTGTGAGATCCAGCCTAGAGGATTTAGCTGTTTAATTGTGGTACAGCTAATTACAAAACATTCTTAAGTTTTAGGCACGTCCACTTTTAATTTCTAGTCCAAATTTGTAAAGTCAGTAACATGTATAGATAGGACTAGTTGAAATCATGTCAGATACCAAAGCCAGGTTTGGACTCAAAGCTTATTTTATACTGATATTCTATTGCTTGGTCTATGGCCGGGCCCTGCTTGTCTTTAAATCTGCTACTGTGACATAGGAGTGATTATTAATTCTTTCTGTCTTTTCAGTGCTGTATATAAGTACTCAGAAGCGGAGGATGTGAAGACACCAGGAGCAGCCCTCTTCACACTTGGATGTACTTGATTATGAAGAGCTTGTTTTTTTGTTCTTTTACGACCCTAGTTGCTGCCTGTTTTCATAGTGGTTGGTGTGTTTTGTTTTGTTTTTTAATTGACATTTAAATAAGATGGAAGTGTTACATTACAAATCAAGTCTTAAACATTTCATGTTCACATTTACTCCTGTCTGTACAGAATATTAAAATTAAAAAAAAAAGCAAAAATACTAATACATCTCTCCTGGATTATTTTACCCGATTCCAGCAGTGTCCTTTCATTGAACAATCTAGTGGTAGTATCTCCACAAAGATTGCAAATCTCTTGATTTGGAAATTATGAGGTTAACCATGCTCTGCCAGTTCTGTGCAGGTAGGCATCTTGTGTTGACTTGCTTCCTCTCAGGAGCATTGGCGTTAATCGATGTAAATCTTGGCTTGCCCAGCCAGGAGGTGCTCAGCTGTTTCTGTGTAACGGGCTATGGTCAAGCTGGAGTACATAACTCAGTTTTCAAGTGCTCAGATGCTCCTGTCTCTTGCTTAGTAAGTGGCCTTGGAGAAAGGGTTGTATTCTGTCTTCAGGTCATGTGATTCCTGATGATGAAGCCTACATTCTAGAAACAGTGTGTTTGATTGCTTTGGTTGTGTGGACACTGGAAGACCATGGAGACTTTTGACTTTCCTCAGCCCTCCTTCAATCTAAACAGAATTCCTGTCTTGGGACTTGGAGTGTGTTTTTTAACAATTGCCTGATTGGATCTGAGGGCAGATGGGAAGCTAGGGAGGGAGAGAGGGGAGGCTTTTTGGAGAGGTGTATGTGACATTTGTCGCACTCAAACAGTAATCAGAAACAATTAATACTCAGGAAAAAGAGAAATGTTTTGTAAGGTTTGATGGTGTACACACTGAAAATAAAACACTTTATCTGAAGCTTCGGTAATTTATCACTTCCTGACAGACTTGAAAAGGAACTAGTGTGTAAGTACAAATCACCAATTTGCTCTTTTACAAATGGCTGCTTTTCTGGAGAAAATGGATCTCTCTCCGTATGGAGCACACCTGTTCTCATTTGTTTTGTAGAGTGTGTGAGGCTGCCAGGTTACTGTGTCCTTTCATTCACTCCATCAACTGCCCCTGAATGCACTTCCGATACTGTCTCTTCCAGTGTGTGGGACCCCGGCTTTGCTCTCTTCTTCCCCGACCTCTCCTCCAGTGTGTGGGACCCCGGCTTTGCTCTCTTCTTCCCCGACCTCTCCTCCAGTGTGTGGGACCCCGGCTTTGCTCTCTTCTTCCCCGACCTCTCCTCCAGTGTGTGGGACCCCGGCTTTGCTCTCTTCTTCCCCGACCTCTCCTCCAGTGTGTGGGACCCCGGCTTTGCTCTCTTCTTCCCCGACCTCTCCTCCAGTGTGTGGGACCCCGGCTTTGCTCTCTTCTTCCCCGACCTCTCCTCCAGTGTGTGGGACCCCGGCTTTGCTCTCTTCTTCCCCGACCTCTCCTCCAGTGTGTGGGACCCCGGCTTTGCTCTCTTCTTCCCCGACCTCTCCTCCAGTGTGTGGGACCCCGGCTTTGCTCTCTTCTTCCCCGACCTCTCCTCCAGTGTGTGGGACCCCGGCTTTGCTCTCTTCTTCCCCGACCTCTCCTCCAGTGTGTGGGACCCCGGCTTTGCTCTCTTCTTCCCCGACCTCTCCTCCAGTGTGTGGGACCCCGGCTTTGCTCTCTTCTTCCCCGACCTCTCCTGCAGTGTGTGGGACCCCAACTTTGCTCTCTTCTTCCCCGACCTCTCCTGCAGTGTGTAAGTCTTTATTTCCCCCTTGCCATTTCCAGCTTAATAGCTCTACCGTAGAGCAGTGTTTTCATCCACAGAACCACTTTTAATCAAGATTGTCTCTGGGAAATGCCACCATTTTTATGGTAATAAAGGACCATATTATGCACCTGGACCAGTACGTATTGTCCCCTGTGCATACCTTTATGTGATAGAATTCTGAAACAGATTGTAAATGCTAAAATTACTTTTTCTTAACTGTAGTTTATATGTAGTCCATGAATGGTTTTCATTTGGATTGCAGCAAAGACAATTGTTCTAGGGTGAACATTTTTCCGCTTGAGTAAATACATTTTCCTTGTCCCTGTACCCCCAAACCCTAGTTGCCATCATCTTCCTCTCGGGCTGTGACAAAACAGAATGTTTAGTGGGAAACAACTTGTGCTTGGTTTCTAGACTATCTGACTTCACATTTTGTTTTGGTCTGTGAGCTATTCCTTGGCTAATCTTCCAAGCTGAATTGATTCTTACTTCAAACGTGTTTATCCCAAAACAGAGCTGTTGACAAGTACAAATACAGATGGTGGGCATGTGGTCTGATTTTCGTGTTCTCCTCAGCATTCAGAGAACGGCTCCCATCTTGAGCTTCTTGTTGGAGGCAGTATGTAATGCAGGCTAGGAGCGCCTGATTATGTGACAGTGACAGACGCGCACGGGATCTCCTTACAGTCTGGAAACAGCAGCTTCCGTGTGTGTGTGTGTGTGTGTGTGTGTGTGTGTGTGTGTGTGTGTGTGTGTGTGTGTGTGTGTGTGTGCTGGCTCCCTCTAGCTTCACTCCTAAGGCCTGGGGTGAAGCTAGAGGGAGCCAGTGTCCAGACCCAGCCTGGGACTCCTCAGCTGGGAATCCTGATGTGTCAGTCAATCTCCCCGGGTGTGGCCCTGGCTGCTGGCCTTACTATATATTGCCAATATTGCCACAAGTGGACAGAAGGGTCCTTTGGTGAACCTGCTACAAACGCTGTTACCAAGAATGACAAAGGGGAGGCTGCATGTCAAGAGGACAGGTGAACAGCTACATCTTGGCTCAAGTGGAATCTAACCGAATTTCTCTTCTTTGGGGGACAAAAAACATCCTCTAAAGAGACCCTTGGACTGGACCTCAGTGGCTCCACAGAGGGCCTCAGTCACAACCAAGCTAATAAGAATTCCTGATGAGGCCAGGGATGCACCACGCCTCCTGTCAGTGTGCAGTCGGTACAGGAAGCCGCAAAAGGGCAGATTATCAACAGAGGGGCTCTTCAGCTTTGTTGTCTTAATGGCTGGGACTTTGCTCCTTTCTTTTTTCCTTCTTGCAATTAGACGTTCTGTTTGAAGAGTTAAACTCAACACAATGAATATTGTATAACCTGCTCATTAACTAGACTCCTGCGACCGGGGAGCTTCCTCTGTTGCCTTAAGGAACCCACAGAAATAGACATTCTGTCCTCTGCGGTGTCTGAGACTCATCTCCGCCAAACCTTTGAAAGAGTCGTGTTGGGGTTTAGCTCTTGCAAGAAAGAAAGAGCTCTTCCCCTTACTGTGCCCCTCTGAACCACCCAAAAAGATCTTGCAAGAAAGAAAGAGCTCTTCCCCTTACTGTGCCCCTCTGAACCACCCAAAAAGAAATGCTCTTTTCAAAACCAGAATTCCAGAACCATTCGGAGGCCTGATTCAGTGGCACGGGTGTAGGTGAGGGCATCTACCTGTCTGAAGCACAGGATGCTGGAACCGTGGGAGCACACCTAGAGCAGGTACCATGTTAGAGAGTGGGATGGAACACACTTGGGGACTGCATCCATGCCGTGCCAGGCCACGAGCCCCAGAGTGGAGCAAGCCTTTCCACCAGGTGCAATAGATGTGGGACTTCTCGGCCTCACACTTGATGAAGGGCTTGCATCCTCAAGCAGCTAAATCCATGCTGCCCTTTCTCAACGGTGAGGCTAAGACAATGTATCCCCCATGAAGGACAACTGTTACCTGGTTTATCAGAGGTTGTCAGGAAGAAAGCGTCATGGGTGAAGACGATTTGCTCTCCTAATGATGCTGCTCATTTGGTTTAGCAAGGGCTATGCAGGTACAGCCTGGTACCAAAACAACAGCTTCGAGACCACATGTGCTGGTGTCCGTGCGTGGTACACATTGGGATTAACTGCCCTTGTACAGATAAACCCATTGCAGAGCGGCCATCTGTATTAATGTGGAGACATGAACCCCACCAACGGGCAGGATATTTGCCTTCCACCTAAGTCCTAAAGTAGGGTGACAGAAACTGGGTGGTACTGCCCTTAGCACACCTATAACATGGAGGAAAAAGGTTCAGCAGTTCTAAGAGCAAACACTGTACCCGTTCACCTGCAAAGACACTGTGTAAACTGTCACGAGCCATTTCCCCCCTAAAAATCATTACAGGAACCATCACCCTGGGGAGTCTGCAGGGAACCTCACACCCATAATTATGTTCTATTGAGAGAACCTGCCCCACACCCAATTAACTTATCTGTTAGCTGAATGCGCCTCACACTCCAGCTATCCAGGGAACCAGGTGTGGCAACTTGTGACTTCTTGGCCTTCCTGTCCGAATGTAACCTCTTGGCCTACGTGACGAACCTGGCCTACGTGACCAAGACCACTCGGCAAGATCCCGTGCCCTGCCCACCAAGTCCTCATGCAGGGCCTATATAAGCAGCAACCATGATCCTAATAAACGGAGGCTTTGACAAATCTGCTTGGCCTCCTTCTTCTGTCCTAGCTCATTCCCTTCCAGGTAGCGCCCCTCCGAGACCCTGGAATAACTGATTGCAGGGTGGGTTACAAACCCCTAGACTGAGTAACCCACCCAACGCAATCGACAGTAAACAATGGTATTGCTCCTGCTTTTTCCTGCCGATTTCAGCTCATTGGATATTGATTGCGAGACTCTGCCATAGCGCTCCCCCCCCCCCCCATCTCTGGTGAAGCGATGCTTAGGTACATGAAAACCTAGGCAAATTACATGCTCACAAACGAATGTGTTCCAAGGACACTGTGGAAAGAAATAAACATTATATTCCAGTGAGGGCCACAACTATTCCCTCTATACATCCAACAAAAAGACATCCTTCCTATATTTTCTTCCCGAAAATGAAGCTAAAGACCCCACTAGTGGTGCACCCTTACCTGGCCACATCATACCAGGTGCAGCATGCATGAAAACTTTTGAGATTTCCCTGTGCCAGAGGGAGTGTGTGTGTGTGTGTGTGTGTGTGTGCATTTGTCTGTGTGCATGTCTCTGTGTCTGTGGGTGTGTGTCTGTGCTGAAAATAAAATGTTATATCTATTGATATAAAGCAAAATAGCCCAAAATGTGGTAGATTAAGACAACCAGTGGCACCATTAATTTCCTTTATTTATTTCTCAGAAAGTCTCACTCCACTAACTTGGAATC